GCTGGTGCAATAAGCTGTACGTTTTACGTCCAATTGATGCATGATCTGATTAGTCGACTAATCGCAAAAATAATCGGTGACTAGTCGACTATCAAAATAATAGTTTGTGGCAGCCCTATCACCAACCAGTCTCCAAACCTAGGTGGCTGAGGCTAAGCGCCAAATGAAAACAATGTAAAGACCCGACATTACAAAAGAGAAACCCCAATAATCCAACTGGCCTCTTTGAGCAAGCATTTGGCAAAAGTGGGAAGGAAAAACTCCCTTTTAACAGGAAGAAACCTCAGGCAGAACCAGGCTCAGGTAGGGGCAGCCATCTGCTGTGACCAGTTGGAGGTGAAAGGAGGAAGACAGGACAAAGACATGCTGTGGTAAAGAGCCAGAGAGAGAAAGAAGGAAAAACTAAATCAAAAAGAGGCCATACAATAGAAAATATAAAGAAAGAATTAACAGTGTTGAAGGAAGCAAAGATATAAGGCATGCTGATCTAGCTCACACTTAATTTGTTTCCCACCACACTTACTTACACAAACCAATATTTCCTCCATAACTTGGCTCTTAACTACAGAAGTTGGGTGACTAAAAATGGAAAGAGTAATCAAGCTGGTCGGTATGGCAGCTGATATTTGTAAAGTTTGAGCTGCTTCCACTCTGCCAATTTACAGTTATTCCATTTTCTCAGGGACGGCCGGCGTGCCCACCCCGAGCCTTACTTCAGCAGACAAAAGTGCTAACAGCAGATGAATTAAAGGTTACCAACAATATATGATGAATGTCAGGCAAATACAAATTACCACAGGAAGAAGAATAATGAAGAGGCTTTTTTCCCCCGCCAAGCCAGGGGCCAGTCAATAATTAGAGGTGGCGCGGTCGCTGTCACCGGCTTTCTGCAGGCTCGGCGATTTGTTTCGGCTTTAATTGCTCAGGTTAAGATGGCCGCCCACGCCACGCTTATGAAAAAAAAAAAATTGAGCCGTTTACTGTCGAGATGCTCATCACGAGAGACCCGGATCCAACAGGACGCCCTTCGACAAGTTTCCTTGTCTCGTGCATTTGGTGTTTACTCGGAGCGAAGCATGAGGGGAGTTTGCTTTGATCCCCTCCAAAAAAAAATAAATTAAAATAAGTCCCAACCGCGCACAGGGAAGATGTGCCACGAGTGGTTGACGGTCGGTGCACATTGAGATTTTTTTTCTTTTTTTTTTGCATTCAGGGAGACATAATCACACAAATAAGACATCAAAGATAGACTGAAAGTTAAAATATGCAGCTGAAAATTTATTCAGATTGTTTTGGGAAGGCAGGGGGAAAAATATTCCCTCAAAGTGTCCGACTGGATGACATCAAAAGTCTGTGATACCGTGAGACACGTGCACGAGCCAGACAGGATGCTTTCAGCTTTTTAGACATGTCTGGTCAGAGGGTTTTTTTTTGGTTTCAGGGATCTTGGCAGCTTCGGTCCTTCATGTCGTGGTTCCCGTGACTGGAGGGGAATCCCATTTTTTTCCCTCCTCCTCTTGTTTTTCTGGTCACTGGCATGCAGCTCGCCAGTATGTCGCTTCTCAATGTGAACTCCCGTGCCCCGCAGGTTGGCAGAGAGAAAAGCCACACACACACACACGCATGTACAAATAAAACTGGCCGCTGCCTGCAGGTTGAAGCCAAACTGCTGCACCTGCGTCATTTTTTGCTGGCTCCGATAACTCCGACCACCTCTCCACCTGTACGGCAAATCTGGCAACAGTCAAACCTAAAAAAACCCAACCCGTGTTCGAAACAGGAGGATGCGTCAGTGAGTGCGTCATGGAAATTTGTGTCCTGTGAGGAGAAAAGAGTGTAAATAGTGATAACAGGTTCATGTGTCAGGTTCAATTGCTACTTTCACTTTACTTCAGGGGTGTTGGACTCATTTTAATAAACGGGCAATTAAACACATAATCCAGGAGGATCGTTATGTAATAACACAATCGAAGAAAGTTAAACTCTATATTTTCACCTGTGTTTTCAATCTGAAAATACTGACATTTAACAAACCTTAACTACAAAACCTACCCCTGATGACCACCTAAGAAAAATGAGTACATTTCACTCTCTAAGTGATGCTCTAATGCCCCTTGAGAGTAAAAACATCCTCTGTGTTTGCGGCTGTCGTTTTTGTTAAAGCTCTTAGCATCAATCAGTTTGGTTTGGTTTATGTGAAATGAAAAACCAGAAAATATGATGTCAAAATGACACTTCATCTAAAAAGTAACATCTAGTTGTTGATCGATAGATCCAAATATCAACAATAATGATAACAGTAGCGGTATCGATACTAGCGTGATAGTATCAATAGTAATAAAGAAATTATTATTTTGGAAATGAAACCTTAACCTTAAAGAGACGCTGAGCCAAAGCGTTTCAGAGACCGGCACATTTGCAGGTCTCCACAAACAGCAGTTTCAAAGTGCATAAGAAAAGGTGAAATGTGTGATTTGTTCTGTTAACTAAAGTAAAAATCCCAGCGATTTAGTGCTCAGAGGTGTCAGTATTGGTGTTGGCAGTACTGGCCTTATGTTTACTTGCTATCGGATTGATGTCAAACTTTGTAGTATTGCGCAGCACTAGTAACATGTTCTAGTTTCTAAAGGTTTAGCCAAAGTTAACCCTACTCTGTGAACCCTGATTGGTCACTAGTGGCAGCTTGGATATTAAGATGCAGTGTGATTTTTTTTTTTCAGACAACCTCCTAAACAACGACAACTGCCATTCTCAGCCCCTCCAGCATTTTATTAGTGCCCAGTACATAAATAAAACATGAAAATCTCCCAACATGGAGGGATCTCTCTATGACATTGTATGATCTTTACTGTATTTTGTTTTGGATTTCATCATTTTCCCTGTTTTTAGGGCAGAAATCTGATGATCAGTGTGGTGTGTTTGAGAAATACAACACGCAGTCAGTCACAGCTTGGGTATGTGTCGCACGAGGCTTCACTAAACTGCTGTAACCTTATCAAACTACTCTGTATTTTTACTGCGTGAGGAGAGCTTTGTGCCTCAGAAACAACAACAAGCTGCAAAACGCTGAAGAAGCTGAGAGTTCAGTGATGTTAAGGGACAGAAAGTTTCTCTTTGTCTGAAAGCTCTCAGAAAGCTGAGATTCAAAGCGAGGCCCATCTCTCCTAATTAACACTTTGAAAGATAAAAGCAGTTTATTAAATCAATCAGGATGATGGTTGTTTGTGAATCCCAGCAGATAAGGACATTTGCATATTAACTTTGCAGTTCTAACCTACATTTGAGGATCTTCTGAGATTGTGGCCGGCTTCAATGTAAATATTTTTCCCCCTCACTTCTACTGTACACGTTTTAAAGTTTCATCGCCTCAGATTCTCTGGTGGATTTTCAACTCATTAAAAAATAAAGACACGGATAAATAAGCAAACATATAACGTAAACAGACAAACAAATGAATAAACGAGCACGGATATCACGGCGCCGGAGAGGCTCTGCCAAAATTTCTGGCAAAGACGGGGCAAAACAATCTGGATCTTGACTTTCTGTTAGATATTCCCAGTTCAAAATTCGACTTTAAACGGACATGAAAGCAACAAATAGGCTTTAAAGAAGTATTATGTGTGCCCTGCAGTTAATCTGGCACATACTAAAGAGCCAAAATCTCACTTTAATGTGAATCATGTATTTTCCTGATAATGTTTTGAGTGGATTTAGTATCTCTGGGCTTTTATTCAACTTGTTCATATTAAAATCTCATTGTTTTGAGTTTTCTACACTGATCGAATGGTGCAGTTCATTGCATGTATTTCTAAGATGTCTCAGTTTTATCTCAGAGTTTGACTTTCCTGGGTCTTAAAGGTAAAAACTGTGTCTTTACGTGGGGTTTTGTTAAGAATAAACACAGAGTATGTACAGTAGTTTGCTCACTGGAGCACAGAGTATGGATTAAAAGCAGCTACCCAGAAATGCACCATTCTCGGTATGTAGTAAATACAATTTCAAAAATTCTTCGGCATGAACAGATTGTCCACAGACAATGGAGGCAAGTGAAAATTAAACTAAATGAAATTTTCCTAGATTTGGAAAAACTTGTGTCAAGCAATTTAGTTCAGTGGGTTTTTTTCTTGTTTTTTTCCGTGGGAAAATCTGGCTGACAGAATATGCAGATAAATGCTAGAACTTGGATTTCCCTTCTTGGGTTTTATCAGCTTTTCTTGATACTACAGTATTAGCTTAAATGGGGTATTTTTGTGGTAAATGTAGGCAATATAAAAGACAGATGTAGCATATGGGGCTGAAGAGTGAAGCCAATTCAGAAAAGCCTAAAACTTAGAACCTTTTTAATGCACACTACAGTGTGATAACTGTTGTTGCCAAAAGATTTCTGGTCCTATCAAAATCTATCCGCTTGAGTGTTGACAATCAGATCAACCACTTGGTTGTGACATTCGGTTTTAAAATACCAAAGGTGGAAAAGCTCATCTCGAGGCTTTCTCTTTTACTCTTTTACTCCTCTTTCAAACCATCTGTTCTCTCTGTCCAAAATGTGAACATTGGACAGAGATACGGTGGCCCTGAAGTGCAAATCACACCAACAAATTGCTAAACACAACAACAAAATCGAGAAACAAAAAAACAAATGGAGAATCACAAAAACAAAACTGAGAATCACAAAAACAAAATTGAGAAGCACAAAAACAAAACTGAGAATCACAAAAACAAAATTGAGAAGCACAAAAACAAAACTGAGAATCACAAAAACAAATCAAGAAGCACAAAAACAAAAGAAGAATCACAAAAACAAATCAAGAAGCACAAAAACAAAAGAAGAATCACAAAAACAAATCAAGAAGCACAAAAACAAAAGAAGAATCACAAAAACAAATTGAGAAGCACAATTACATTAAGAAAACCGGAAAGGGTAGGTACCAGTCGGCAACAGGAGACATCACTGATTGGACGTCCGCGCTGTTCATCTTTGGAACTGGAAGTTACTCTGCCTGTGGCGCATTTTTTTCAAACATGAACATTAGCGGTGACCCAAACATAGCTGTCGCTATTCGAGAATATTTTGATTCAGGACATACATACGAGGTGATACTGGATATGCTCAAGTGTAATCATGACATTGCAATTAGTATGCGTACACTGAAAACGCATTTAAAAGAATCTGGACTGTACAGACGAGGCAACTATTCTCCACTTCCTGAGGTGAGGCGTGCCATTTTGGCCGAGCTTCGAGGACCAGGACAATTGTTTGGATATCGGACCATGTGGCAAGTTCTCAAACAAAAACACAAGCTGCGTGTCAAGCGTGATGTAGTTATGAGGCTGTTGAGACAACTAAATCCTCAAGGAATCGCTTTGAGAACTCGAAGGAGGTTCACAAGACGCACGTATCACTCCATGGGGCCCAATTACATATGGCATGTAGATGGCTATGATAAACTGAAACCCTTTGGCTTGGCCCTGTCAGGATGTATAGATGGCTTTTCAAGAAGACTGATGTGGCTTGTGTGTGGAGCAACAAACAACAACCCGGCTGTTATAGCTCACAATTATATAAACTGTGTAAAGAGTCTTGGTGTGATACCAATGAGATTACGAACAGACTTCGGGACTGAGAATGGGACTATGGCAGCAATACAGTGTACCCTCCGTCACGCGCACACGGACTATTATGCTGGATCGTCAAGCCACAGTTACGGATCATCTACTGGGAATCAGCGCATCGAGTCATGGTGGTCTTATTTCAGAAGAGGAAGGTGGGTACATTTGTGTCTGGTAGGTGTAAGCTACAGTGAAAGCTGATCAGATCGTTTTTTTTTACATGCATTTAAGAAAATAGAGTAGCGTCCTGCTGGACGTGTTGAAAAGTTGGATGAGATAGACGTTAACAGCCGTCACTTTATTGCAGGAACTCAAAATGGTCACTGTCAGCTGTTGTGCCGAAATGAGCATGCTTGCCTAGATTTAACGACGCCAATACAAAATGAAAAACTCAGACCAAACTCTCCACTCCTCACAATCAACACACAGAAAAGAATACAGAATTTTTAACAAGAACATTACTGCAGGGTCGCTACAATATTTATGGAAAACTAATATGCATTACTTTGTTTGACATCCATTTGTGGCATGTTTTAAATGGGACCAAAATGTAACAAACCCTATAAAATGACCAAGAACAAAGCTAAATTGATTCTTAAATATTAATTATATACCCAGGTCTCAGTTTTGGATGGACTTGTTTGGAGACCTAAGAGACTCTGGAAACTTAAATGGAAGCCACGAACACCAATGCTTGCTGAGATTCTGCTTCAGAGGGGTTCTACAGAAAGACCTGGATGAATGCAAAGACCTCTGGAACAAACACAGGATCCGGCCAAGCAGACTTGCATCGTGTCCAGGGGGGATTCCAAACGAACTCTATCTCTTGCCTCACAGGTATTTGAGTTCTTAACAAAATGAATTAACCTTTTGCATCAAACTAAATGCAAGGTGTTGTTATTGCTTAAGTTGGTTAATATATATTCATAATTTTACACATAAGTATGATACAGCAGTTTATAACATGTCACTGCATGCGTTGATTTATATAGTTCCATATTGTCAGCAAAAAATCCTTCACTGTTCTATTTTCATTTTGCAGATATGGTTCAAGAGACTGTGGATTTGCTGTTGAGGAGAGGGAACTGGATGTGTTTCCCGAGGAGGGGCTACCGGTTGGATTGTGTGGTGATCCAAACATTGAGGAATATTTACAACAGGCTGTACAACAAAACACACTGCAGCAGCCACAAGACTGGGAATCGGCCACAGAACTGTATTTGGCCCTGAAGGACATAGCTGGGTTTTAGATACCAACTGAACTTCAGTTTGTAATGACATTTGTCAGAGTTACTCTGACGAAGACACACACTGTGTTGAAACGTTAGTTTCTTTCCTTTTTTTGCACCTAATAAAACCTTTGGACTTGAGTGCTCCAGCCCTTCTGTTTTTCCTTCATTTTTTTAATGTTAGTAGTGTTTCCTTTCCCTCTTGCTAAATTGAATATAATATTGTTCATAATATACAGCAACTGGCATAATTTAAATATTAACATTTAACCACAAGGAAACATTTACAATTTTCTTTAATAAAACCATTTACAAATAGTGTCCAGCATTTCTGTCACTTTTCCAACATACACAATATTAAGAAAAAACAACTAAATGTTTAACAATATGGAAGTTGCTTATCACATGAATGTGTTAGGTTCAGCTGCCGTTGGCACACTACTTAACAGGGTAACTCAGTAACTGTAACTTGATGACCTTGCTGATTTAAGAACATCCAAATCCTGGAGCATTTTGAATTCCAAAGTCCATGTTGGCCTTAAAGATGCCATATGAGTCACAGATGGGTAGCTTCAGAGTATTTGCACAGGTGTTTGCAACTGGAAAAGGCGAATCACTTAAAAACTGGATGCATGGTGGTGGTGTCATTCCTGCCGGTGGAACTGCCGTCAGCCCTGTGGCAAACATCATCAAATCTTCCAGACACACTGCTGTTGCCTTCTCTGAAAGAAGAAAGTAAGCACTGTAGTACATTACAGAAAATTAATTTCCTTACCTCTCCTTTCATAAAACTATAAACAAATAAAAACGGCCATTCAAATCTTCACAATCAAGGAGATAATCTGCCCAAAAGCCAAGTGTTAGGACCTCCTTATGCCGCTTGTTGCTTCCTGCTGGGCTGAGATCTGGTCTGAACATGCTCTCCAGTTCTGAAGCAGTCAGGGCCTTTGCAGAGAAGCATAGGAGTGGGGCCAGCACACTGGAATGTTTTTGCAGTGCACTTAAAAAATTCAGACTTTCCAGTCCATCTTTAAATCTGCAAAGGATAGACAAATAACTAATAATTGGTTTATAGCTATGACTATTGCAGTCTTCTAAATTGTGTTTAAATGACTTTACCTACTAGATCTTTCATTATAAATTTGGACAGATTTCAAATGCATACACAAAAATAATTAATAGTGCTCATAAATTAACTGTGACAGCAAAAAAAAGAAGAGCTCATTGGGATTTCAGCATTTAAAAAAAAAATAGTGCTTTCACACTGGAATAAACAAGTGTGTCGAAAAAGGGATCACCTCTTTTTATAAATAACTGAAAAATTAATCATGTTGCATGACTGATTATTATGGGTCATTGTGAACAATAAATGTATACTAAATTAGAGTTCTAGTGTCAAAAGGTTAATAGCGTGCAACAGTGGCTCAGGAATTAAGTTGTTGTTCATCAGATCACCGGATGCTACCGAATCAGTTTTTTCATATACATCTGAGGGTCTGAAAATGTCAGTGGCTGCTGTGATGAGCAACTGGCCATCCTGAATTTAAAAGGAGTAATGAGTTTACCGTTGTATGACACTTTGGTTTCTTTCAAGGATGTACCATCTGAGGTATTCCTCCACAAATGCTTGTTTCTCACAAGGCTTGACATTTCTGAGGCATCCAGCAGTTTGGAAGATTGTGCTGTTTTGCAAAATAAGATTATGCAAAGACTCCTCTGATTCAGCTTTCAGGACCTATAAAAAAAAAAAAAAAAAAAAAAAAGGTTTACTGTAAGAAAAACAAAAATAATTTTCACTACTTTTACGATTCATTCAAACATTGGATTAAAGAAATAATCAATTTGTTATTTCACTTGTGTTGTTGGGAGGTGGAAATCTGTCCTTTCAGATTACAGAATCTACCTTGAACCTACTTTCAAGATATGATCCAACACGGATAACTGTTATCCTGATTTAATCTTTTAAACTGGCCCCAAGTGTCTTCTAAGTAAACCCATTCCCTGAGCCTAGGTAATTTTCTACCTGATGTAGAACTTTTGTGATCTCCTCATCTTGCACATCTTCTACAGTGGCGCTGAAACTCTGATTCCCTGTGATGTGGTTGACCAGGTTCTTGGAGAGGAAATGTGGTGCTGGTCCCCCATGCACAATGGATACAGCGATCATCTTTCCTGCTAAAAAGTACTCATCTTGCCTGGCAGCTGTAATACAGGGCACATAATTATCATGGTTAATTGCTATTAAATATGCTAATGAAAAAAATAAGCCAATTTTTATTAAAATTTCCATTGTAATAATTACGGAGAAAACATCCACCTCTTGAATTATATACAAGATAACGCTCTCTGGAGGTCCATCAAAGATGGGGCGATTTCTCAGACTGCCCATAAGAAGTGTGAGGAATTCACGCCTCGGGCCACCTGTATCCAAACCGTCTTCAAAGCTGCCAGCATCATCATTAAACTTGATGAACATGTCGTAGTTGTCAGAGTATGTGCTGCGTCGAAATCCTCTAACAGCTCCATCCCATACAGCTGACCTTGATATATTGAACCTGCTGACCTTCTTGTGGTCAAGTTCCAGTGCCAAATTTGCAATAATTTCATGTGCCTCCAAATTGGTGTCTCTAAAAAAAAAAAAAAGGGAAACTTATTTTTTAAAGGTGTATATACTTCTCTCATGATTGCATGATGTCTTGTACAGAACAAGATGGCGGTTAATTGGATTCAAATGTTTAAATTACTAACACAGGTTCTTCTGGGGGCTCAGCTTTGGCTTCGTTAGGAGTAGGATCTTCATCATCAATCACAATCGGTTCAAACAGCTGTGTGTAGTTTCTGCAGAGTGAAAACATGTACACAAAGTGTAGATGCAAAAATACAAATGCATAAACATGCAGTTCCACTTTTATAGAACGATTCTACTATTTATTTTTCTGAAGAATCAAATGTAAAAGAGTCAAACTACATACATTTATAATAATTGTGTGTATATATTTTGTGCAAACCTCTGGAATAATTACTCAAGATACAACGCACCTGTAACAGGAGCTCTCGACAGTGAGGCATTCAGTAGTGCCTGTATCGTTTTCTTCTTCCAAATCTATGACCTGGAAATACAGAAAAGAGGATGAATGAAAATTCATATTTGACCAATTGATAATTATTTTAATATAGGGAGCCTAAGTCTCCTCCCCTTCTGGTCTGCTCGTGGGTCCCTGAACAAAAGAAAAATGAATGGAAGTGAATGGAGCTATAAAAGTTATTTTCTGGTCTGCTTTGCCTTACTCTCTGAATCACACATATGTTGTACTTCAATTTAAATAATAAATAATTGTGTTTCGACTATGTCTGTAATGTAATTTGAGATTTGTTAGCTTGTAAAAATTTGTCCTTAAAATGACTACAAGTCAGATGTCGCAAATATGATGTCGCCTCAGAAGCTTTTCTCCCCCAGCGTAGCTGCTAATTATCACATGGCCAGATTTATAGTGGTTTTCTCCACATCATCCTGGAAGAAGGATTCGAAGCTCGCTAAACAAAACTAAGCTTTTCCTCTTCTCTGTGTCTGGTTCAATGATGTCAATTTTGTGAGACGAACATTTACATTTCGCCACGTCTTTTCAAACAAAACATAAAATAACCTTTGCCACCTGTCGCTTAAGCACTTTTTGGCATCAAAATGTGTTTATATACTTCACGGACATCATATTTTAAATCCATTATACACATCAAACGGGATCAGAAAATAATTTTTATTGGCTCATAGACTCCTATTTTTTTAGCAGTATGGGACCCATGGTCCGGAAGTAGATGGATGTACCTTAGGTTTCCTATCCCAATAGATTATCTAAAGGTACAGTAAGTAAGAATGAAATAAGAAATCCTGTGGTCAAATTTGTGTACTACAGTCTATCTTTATAAACAAACGAGTGACTCTCCCTCCTCACGTTCCATGAGTTTCATGGCTACGGATCAGCGCCAGAAGATTCTAGATGACAAAGACGAGTCATACACAGTTAATTTCAATGTAACCTTCCTTCCAACATGATTGAGACATTAGACTGCTTTGTGATTATTTCACTTAGTGTACCTTTAAGGGGTGGATGTTATAATCTATTGATAGTATGAAAATTGATGATGTGAAATGCATTGTATAATAACAATGAATGTAATAAGCAAACAGTGAATCGTCATCTAATTGCAAAGTAAAGGCGGTGGAGATTGTCTGCTGCACTGTTTTACTAATAAAATAGTTTTTTACCTGTTGTACTTCATTAGCAAGCACAAGATCCCCAGCACCCTTCCTTAGAGAACAAAGAAAAGCATTATTGTTGTGTACTGTGAAAATATTAATTGACACTTTGAAAATATTTAAGCATCTTGATTAACAAACAAGCAATACAAGTATTATGTAGTCCATGTTCCAAAAACCATATACAGAATGAATGACTGTGTGTTATACTTGTATAACTATGCATGTGACAAATAAAGAACCTTGAACCTTTAACCTTGACAAAAGTGTATATCTCATTAATACAAAAGTTTAGGCAAAAAACAGTAAAAGATTACATGTTCTTAAAATATCACTTACTCATATTCTGCCGCTTTCTGTAAAGGACTGCTTTCATGTTGAAGTTCCCATGGCTGAAACAAACAAACAAACGCACGCGAGCGAGCACGCACGCACGCACACACACACAAAATGTATTTCACATATAACTATTAACTGTTTTACTGAACTGAGGCAAATGGTGGTGGCTAAACAACAAGAAAACTCTATAAAAAAAATTTAAATTGTACTTACCAGTGTATCAGCAAGATCAAACTCAGAGGGCCTTTTAATAACAATCTCGGGGTCAGAGTCAGACAAGTCTGAGTTTTCTCCAACTACAAAACATGAAAACAAATCAAGCTAAGCAAACTAAATTCATACTAATGTATGAAACTTTATTTGATCATGAATAATAGATTAATACGAAAGGCATAAAGTTAGCATTTAAAAATCATGACTCAGTAGATCCAAAAATGGCTGAATTTCATGTTTCCAGGAAGAAACATAACATATACAAGCTAATTTAGGCAGCAATGGTGGCAGAGGAGTTAAAAGCCTGCCCTGTAATCAAAAGGTTGAAGGTTTGAGCCCTGCTCAGTCTGTCACAGTCGTTGTGTCCTTGGGCAAGACACTTCACCCTCCATGCCAGGTGGTGGTAGTGGGAGGGAT